AAAGACGACACATTTAAAAGTCAACCATTTAACTAAACCCCTCCCCCAAAACATGATTGTCCAATCACAGCAAACAAAAGTTAATTTCACTTCGTGGGTCGCCATCTTTGGGTACACAGTGTCCTTTAGAACTACAAACTAAAACAGGCGTAGCTTATTGGTCATTAAAACGCGACATGACCTTAAAGAGCTACTAATCAAACTTTTAAAAGGCCTTGTACCTGATTTTTTATTTATTTATTTTTTAAGTGTATTTGATATACTGTATAAGCAAATCTTGACGTCAAAACAACTCCGGTACTGAATTGGCATTTTTCCGTACGACAATCAGGAGGTGTGTATTGGCATGCTAGTTGTTGTTTGCGTTTAAGTGATGGTAAAACTCAGCTCTGGTCTGGAAGAGTTGTGAAAAGCGCTTATAAAGTCATCGCGGTGAATCATTACGACGTTCTGAAGCAGGAATAACTTTGGACTAGTTCTGTTTTTATGTTTTAACAAAAACATGAAAATAAAAAAATCAGGTACAGCACCGTTAAGTGTAATTAAATAGAATCAGGTAGCCTAAGTAATGATTTTGATACTATAAGGTAGGTTGTCTAGTTGTATGGATAAAAATCTCTATTTCGCAATTGAAAATATAACATATTTATGTGTGTTTTGTTAGTAATAAAAATATTTGGCCTTCTAGCTTTTTAGTACACTATACCTGCTATGTTTATTTAATGACCATTTTAATATCTATATTTTTGTACATAGTAATAAAATATCATAGTATCTTAATTGGTTAGTTATGGCTTCTAAATTTCCATGGGTAATATAGAACAGTCTATCAATAACTTTGGCTAATATTACTATAGACTTAAATATACCTTAGTTAGAGCAGTGCTATTGATTTGGGATACTAAAAATTAGTTATGTTTTTATGTTTAGACCAGCAATTTCTTCACAAACTGTCATTTCTGTGTTTAAAATGATATTAAAGTGGGATTAAACACCTAGCTCCGCCCACAATCGTGTTGCAAACAGAGCAGCTGAACAGAGCTTTTTCACAACGGCAACATAACGGAAGTGCCCCGCTGTAGGTTTACGGGAATTCCGGTTAAAGCTACTTTATGGCAAAATGTCTGTGGAAATGTTTTTTCACCAGCTTCATAAATCTGCCCCATCAACAAATCTTCATCCAACAAAGTCGACAAAGGATAAACATGACGAATTTATCCACAACTATCAAGGGAAGAAAGACGAAAACGTAAATGCGAACAACGGCGACGCATTAGTAAACTACTCCTGAGCAAAACTAACATTATAGTCATGAATAAAACATAAGTAATACGTAATTCGTTAATAAGTAACTTGTGAACTCAGACTGATTCGAGAATTTAAGATAAAAATCGATTTTATGATGTAGATATTATGAGAGATCGAGAGATTTGTGCAGTTCGAACGCTACAGATGTTCACAGATCTCATGTCTCGCATTTAAACTGCACAAATCTCTCTGTCTATGATAATATCTACATCACGAATTCGATTTTTAATTTTAATTCCAGAATCAGTCTGAGTTAACAAGTTACTTACGTTTTATTCATGACCATAATGTTAGTTTTGCTCAGGAGTAGTTCACTAATGCGTCGTCGTTGTTCGCCTTTACGTTTTCGTCTTTCTTACTTTGATATTTGTGAATAAATTCTTCATGGACACAATATGTTCTTTGTCGACCTTGTTGGATGAAGATTTGATGATGGGGCAGATTTATGAATACGCAAGATATTTCCACAGATATTTTGCCATAGAAAAGCATAAACGTAAGTGACATTTACCCGACATCGCGGCTCTTCCGTCCGTTGTGAAAAAGGTGTACTGGCCGTGGAGAGGAGGGGCGGGGTCTAGGGGTATAAGGAGCAGCGTGATTGGTCGAATGGGTATCGACGCTTTAAACTCCGCCCCTGCAGTTAGGCGTCTGGATCAGAAACATCAGAATGTAATCAGGGCAGTTCTATGTGATGTCACGTAGTACATGAAACTGCTTTTTTTAACGCAAAGCTGCAAATTTACCCAGATTTTGTGTTTAGTTCCACTTTAAACTCACAGTATAGTAATATAATAATAATAATATAACATATACTAATGCTGGAGGCGGGGTTTAGAGAACGGTTAGTTGGTCCGGCGTGAATCCTGGCCAAAAAAACGAAAACAAAAATACCCAAAAAAAGTTTAAAACGGGGAAATAACTTCATAGAATCCCCTTTCCAACAAAAAAAAAAGAACATTTTAAAGCACATTTTTCATAATCAAATCATATATTACCGTTTTTTGCATTATTCAAAAATGTGTTTTCAGACAAAACACCTGAGAAAAACTAACAAAGAATTCCAATGAGTTTTCCCATTATAATCAATTATGTATATTACAACTAGAATCACATCATAATTCAAGCATATATAATTTACACATATATATATATCTATTGTACGAGAATAGTTTAATATTGGATAATGCAGTTGTATGGTACAGTATAAGAGATAGGGTGCGTTTCTTTCTGGCATTTCATTGGGTAGTTAAGGAGAGGTATCGACAAGTGTAGAAATCTATATATATATATATATATATATATACGATTTATCCATATCATTTTCAACAAAAACAAAATGAAAAGTAAAGGTTTAATAGACAAATAAAAGGGTGTAGGCAGTTTAGTCTGTTTTGTGTTTTGGGGTTGGAAAAAATGAGCACCATTCGTCTATAAAGGACCACCACAGTAAAGGTGAGAGAGTGCATGCTCAAAGACGCAGCAAATCAACCCGGCAACAGTGTCATATTTGCACTCAGGATGGACGGATGAGGAAACAGAGAGAGAAAAGAAGGAGAGAGGGAAAAAAAAAAGGATAGCTAGTCTGAAAAATAGATCGCCAACCTGTTGCTAACCTGCAGCAATGGTGTCCAAATCATTCGTAAGTAATAGCGAGCTTTAGAATGGTTACATATGGGGCTGTTACCATGGCGATTAACAATTTTATCTTTCAAACGTCCTCAAAATGGCATTCATAAAAGAAAAAAAAAAAAAAAAAAAGTGACTGAATCCGATTAAAAAGATAAAACTGAGGCTGTATTACTTTGGATTTTTGTATTTGTTATGAACTATATGACAATTACAAGCAAATTGTAGTCAGAAAATTTAATAAATGCAATGTTTTGACTTTTTACTTTTGAAATTTGGCAATAAAAATATGAGTAAATTAATTTAACCTTGACAAATGGTGATTAAAAGTGCTTCCAGGAATTTAAAACGTGATAAATTTAGGTTGACACGGCAGCAATTCGGTCTGTATCTTATTAAACTAATAGACCTTTCTTTTTTTTTTTTTTTGCATAATTATTATTAAAAGTTGTCTCTCTGTTTCCTCTCTGTCTCTCCTCCAAAATGGCCGCCCGCGAAATCAACACAGAAGAAGAGTTGAACCCAAACGTCCACAATGAAACGAACAGAAAGATTGTAAAACTATACAACGTTATATTCCACCTTTGCCCAAGTGAGGCCCATCGAAAACAATCATTACTAAGATTCTCTGTCTGAAAATACCTGAATCAGCCTAGATACATTCTCAAATAGCTTCCATCTGTCCAGCTTTGCCGTTTAAAATAGACCATTTGTTGTTAAAGTGCACATGAGAGGTTTTCGTGTTTTTCGAATTCTGACTTGGTTTGGTGGGATAGTACCTGTGCTAAAATATTTATCCAAGTTTTACATCAGTTTGAGTGGAAAAAGTTGAGAAGAGAAATAGAGTTCTAAAATGAAAAACCTTTATGTCATCGAGTTTAACAAGGTGTTTTATTTGAATTAGTCTAATCATAACTATTGTGTAATCCAGACAAGTTTTGGGATGCACCAAAGCTGGAAAATATGCTGGATCGGGTATCGGTCGCATGATATCGGTTATTGAGATCGTATATTGCAACTGGGCCTTTCATTGGATGTAATAAGATTGTTTAAAAGCTGATTTTGGACCAAACCGTGTCTTAATGTTTGAACTTTGATACATACAAAGCGGTTACTTGAAGAATAAATAACAGGTACGTTATAGAGCGTGGAAACCCGACTGAAGTTCGACGTGTTCCGACGGGTTCGAGCAAATATTTAGGACTCGCTTTGAGACTCTTAAGTGTTCAAAAGATCAGATCGCTGCATTTCTAGTTTAGACACAAGTCAAAACCGTGTTATTATTTGTGAAATGCGGCACGGAACTTCAGACACATGATTTGTAAAGCATAAAAGATTGGTGATAAAGTCCGCGGGAAGTAGAGTCACTATCGAGAATCTAAAGCGTCACCTCGATCTGTTCGCTGTGTGGATGTAAACAGACCTTTTTACTTTTAAATAACGCCTCAAACTGGATTAATAGTACGGTTTTGTGGACTGGATGTTATTATTTGCAGAGGACAAATTATATGGATAATATGAATGAGATGCTGCACTTTACGAGAGGTAATAAAGTCTTCTCCTGAGTTTGTATTTTGCGTCTTTGTGTCCGTTGGAGGCTACACAAACAATATCTAATGTGTGTCAATAATCGGCCTGTGAAAAAAGTGTGATTTTAATTGCGTCGGTTTGGTCGAACTCGGACACAAATATCTTAATGGCTATCGAGCTCGGGTCGGATTCGATCACTGCTCTGTCGGACGAGGGCCGGGCTCGGACAGAAAAATTCGTCCCGATCCACACTCTAGTACGCTTCGCATTTGGATCTCTTGTGTAATAAGTTCACTGTGTTTTAAGGACGTCCCTACATTGGTTTTGGTTAATATCGGGTATCGGCAAGCAAGTTAAAAGAATCGATATTGGTGCATCCTTAGTTTTGACCCTTGTTTACAATATGGTCGCCAGATAACCTTTATAAAATTACCTCTACGTTTGTCGTATTTGCTGCTCGTGTCCAACTGGAAAGTAAAATTTGACACTTTTCTCAAACATTTAAAACACTAGAGGCAAGATTAAAAAAAAAAATCGTAACTATAATGTTAAAAATTTGATGAACTGAGTCGTCTAACCTGCCATATGCACTTTAAGCGGTTAAAAGCTGGGAGAGGAAATTATTTACGCATGGCCCCGTGACCGCACAGCTCACAGCCCCTCCCCTCCCCATATAGAAAATATACAAAAGATTATCTCCAAATTCCTCCTCTTGCGGCTATCTCTGCTATTAGAAAAATATACATTAATAATCCTATGTCAAAATCTCTATGGACGAAATCCCTGCAACCACTTCTTCCTGCGTTTTCCTGGACTAGCCCCACCTTCTCATCGACCCAGATCGAAAAATATACACGTTATATCAGTATTGTGTCCTATTTATAGAAAATAATTACACATTTGAACCACTTGTGTCCATGCCTTTGAAAAGCTCTAAAAAGTGAAGTTGTTTTTCTTCCGTTGGGTTTTGTATTGTGAGTTCAACACTGTGTATAGAAGAGGTCAAAGCTGAGAGGCGAGAGACGCACTACTTGTACAAACCCCGAGCCACACCGGACGTAAGCGCGGGCGGGGCGGATCCACGAGGGGGGGGCGGGGCTAGGGCGGGACGATACGGTGATACAGTACATGTGAATTGACCAGCAAGTCTAAAATGACAAAGCAATACAACTCCAGCAACGTACAGAGCACTCATACATGGAGCAAGTGTTCAGTAAGAAGTATTTACAGAGAAACTGGTGTTAAAACGTTCAAGTTGTTCAGAAAAGCTGATTTAATGTACAATGTTTTGTGGTGTAGTTCGTTTAATCCATAAAAACGATCCTGCCTTTCACCTGTATAGTTTATTTTTTTCATCCCAAGGTCCAAATAAATAAAAACGTGAATATAGAACGCACGTAACTTGAAGTGGTAAAGTCTATAATTTCAAAATACGCACCATTTTCTTGCATTTTTTTAGCATTTGTATCAAAGTATTACTGCTAAAACTCATATTTCAAGATGGTGGTCATGATTTAATCCAATGAATTCAATCCACGAGAGTCAGAATGATTCAAATTTAAGACTTCACGGTTTAAAATAAATTATCGGACTGTTTTTGTTTGGTCAAACGTCCTCAAAATGGTGCCTATAAACATGAAAATGAAACCGATATATATTAAAACTTTTACTCAAGTAACAGTTAAAGTTCTTCCCCCATATGTACTTGTATTTTTATGTATTTTAACCATATTTACTTTCAACCGCAATCAATAATAATAACTGATCTACTGCATTTAGCCGTAACTTGACAGACCGTTATAGCGTCCGACGTTTTGTAGTTTTGCATTTTAGCGAACTACAATTCCCACCACAAATAAACTCGCATATATTTGACGCTGTAAAAAATGTAAAGTTGTGTACATCGTGTAATTCCATGTATGCAGAGAGTAGCTTAAAACGTGTTGCTGGTGATTGGCTTGCTAAAAAAATCCACCCCAAAAATAATCGACGTTTAAATCCGGTGTGGCACAGAGCTTATCACAAATCTACATCTCTCCCCTCTTCTCCAACTTCCATCTAAAGTGCAGTTGTAAGCGGGTTGCCTTTGTACCCTATATCTCTATCCGAAAAAAACTCCGAAGATCTTTTTTCCGCCGTCTCGTTCCGCCGGCCTCCTCACAAGTCTCCGTGGCGACTCTCGTATTTGTTGATGATGTTCCGACAGCGCCCCAGCTCCTTCCGCATGTCGGCGACCTCCTGGCGTAGCGCGGCGTTCTCCCTCTCCAGGAACGCCGCCCGGACGGAGATCTGGTTTTCCTTCAGTCGCCGCGCGTCCCTGGACCTCTTGGCGGCTTCGTTGTTTTTGACACGGCGACTCCAGTATTTCTCGTCCTGTTATAGCGGCATGTTTTTGGGGGTGTGTGGGGAGGAAGGAGGGAGGGGAGAGAGACAGAAGATAACAAAAACAAAAGAAAACAAAACAAAAAAAAACAGAGAGAGGAGAAACAGGAGGATCAGTCATGTGATGAGAGAGAGGTGAAGACAAGGAGAAGGCTCAATAACAACTGTGCATGGAAAAGCAGTGTAGCATTGCAGTATAAAGCAACGTGGGCGTTTCTGTAAGCTTTGACAACGGTTTAAATATTCTATACTTTGATTCTTTTGGGTTTTAACTGCGTTCAGCGGTTAGTGTCTATAAGAGGTGTTTAAAACCTTGTTCAGACCTTGTATAGACCTGATTTAGACCTTTATTAGACCTTGTTTAAACCTGGTTTAGACCTCCTTGAGTCTTGAGTTCGACCTCTCTCCACTGCTCCTCTGTGTAGCCTTGACCTAGGTTAGTCCTGGTTTAGTGCTGCTTTAGTACTGGGTTATACCTAGTTTAGTCTTGGTTTGGTCCTGTTAGTTATAGTGGGTCTGGTCTGTTCGTGGTCAGTATCAATCAGAAGTGCTTTGAACCTGGTTTAGACCTGGTTTAGCCCTGCTTTAATCTTAGAGTTAGGCCTCTCTCCTCTGCTCCCCTGCTTTAGTTCTACTTAAGTCGTAGCCTAGACTTTAGTTTAGACCTGGGTGAGTCCTGGTTTAGACCTGGTTTAGACCTGGTTTAGTCTTAAGAGTTAGACCTCTCTCCTCTGCTCCTCTGCCTTAGTTCCACTTAAATTGTAGCCTAGACTTAGTTTAGTCCTGGGTTAGTCCTGGTTTAGACCCGGTTTAGACCTGCTTTTTCATTTTTACTTACTTTGGACCTGGTTTAGCCCTGCTTTAATCTTAGAACTCTCCTCTGCTCCTCTTCTTTGGTTCAACTTAAGTCATAGCCTAGACCTGGTTTAGTCCTGGGTTAGTCCTGCTTTAGACCTGCCTTTTGCTTCTGACTTACTTTTGACCTGCTTTACTCTTGAGTTCGACCTCTTTCCTTTGCTCCTCTGCTTTAAGTCTACTTAAGTTGTAGCCTAGACTTAGTTTAGTCCTGGGTTAGTCCTGCTTTAGTCCTGGTTTAGTACTGGTTTACAAATAGGTTAGTCTCGGTTTGGTCCTGGTTAGTTTTAGCTCATGTGGGTCTGGTCTGTTAGTGGTCAGTATCAATCAAAAGTGCTTCAGACCTGGTTTAGTCCTCAATGGTCCTAGTTTAGCTGAAGGTTAGACCTGGTTTAGTCCTGGTTTAGTCCTGGTTGGTTATATCTCCTGAGGGGTCTTCCTTGTCTGCAGTGATCAGTACCTACATCAGAAGTGCATTAGACTAGTGTAGTCTTGCTTAAGTCCCTGGTTTAGACCTGGTTTAATCTTGGTTTAGTGCAGCTCTCGTGATGTGTTCCCAGTCTGCAGTTAGACTTGGTTTAGTCCTGCTTAAGTCCTGTTTTAGACCTGGTTTAGTGCAGCTTGTACGGGATGTTCCTGCAGCTCTACAATAATACTCAGTTTATGTACCAAACGTGGTCAAAAGATGGAACAGAACAGTTTCTGCAGCTCAAGTGACTGTGGAGGATTCTTGCTGTTGTCAAAGCTTACAATAAACGACCGTCACATTCACGGCCACAGTCAACAGACACAGCAGCCAAGAGATCAGCACGACGTATCAGTTTAAAAGGGCTGCTGTTTGAATGAGGAAACCTTTAGGAGATTTACGGTACATGAACTGATAATATTACAACATCATTCCTGACTATTGTTTAGAACCAAACTAAAAGGACCTGTGTCTGATTTTCCCCATGTGTTTCAACATAATCAGTCTTACCAAGTATTGTATAAGCAGCTCCTGATGTCAAAATAAATCCACTGTGTACCAATATCTAATTAAAGAAAAATGCATGACGTACTTGAAGAATAACTTTGGACTGGCAAACTGTTTTAAGGGTAAATAGTATTAAGATTGTAGAAAAATCAGATACTAATCGATACTAAAACCAGTACTGAAACTAGATATTCATTTAAGCAGGTATTGATATTAAAAAAGTCACATTCACAGGACAGAAATGAATCTTTAGAATGATCTTGAGCTGTGTCAGAACAAGTATAAGAGGACAAAGACTGGAATGGAACCTACCTGGACCACTAAGATATAAAACCACATGGGAATATAAAAGAAAGTATAGATTTAATGTTGAAAATCACATTCTATCATCTAAAGAAGGAGAGTTTTCAGTATGATTGTGGTATCGGAATCGGCATCGAGTCCTTAGCATTGAAATATAGAGTAAAATTGTATTACCGTGGCAACACTAGACAGAGGTGGGAAGAATTCATCATTTTGCAAGTCTCAATTAAGTCTCAAGTCTTTGACCTCAAGTCCGAGTCAAATACAGGCAAGTCCAAGTCGAGTCTCGAGTCACTGGCTTGTAAGTCCAAATCAAGTCCAAGCCATCTGTCATTTGACATTTTTAAACCAAAGTACCAAATATAGCTTAGATTTTTGCAATTTATATGAATTTTAAGATATACTGTACTTATAAAGTCGTAGTATATTTATATATGAGTATTTATAAGGTGTGGAGTCATCAAGGTAGATTCCATGGCAAGGAGAAAATTCAGTTTATTGACTGGACAAAAGTTTGGTTGAAGACGTTGAGACGATGAGCTGCGAAACGTCTTCAACCAAACTAACTTTTGTCCAGTCGACAAACAGGATTTTCTCCTCGCCGAGTATTTATAGAGTATATAAGAGTTGTAGAAATGCATACTTTTCCTTTTTTAAATGTCTTGACAAGATCTTAGAGTCAATCATCACAAATTCAGATTTAAAAGTGCTTTGCAAGTCTCCTCAAGTCTCATTTCTCAAGTCCAAGTCGAGTCCCAAGTCCTAGTCCATTTTATCAAGTCAAGTCTCAAAGTCCTAAAAATAGTGACTCAGTTCTCGAGTCCAAATCACAACTTGCAAGTCCCCACCTCTGCTAGACTGTATACTTGACATTCCAATATTGAAACCAACTATTTTTTTATCCTTGTACATGATAAATTGTTCACTTCTAGCACTGAGTGAAATGAAAACTGCTAAGACATTTACTACCCAAATACAAAACACAAGACGAATGCGTGATAGCCTTCCTTTTCCTGGAGCTTAGCATAAGATTAGACTCTCGGGGCTACTATAATAATTCACATTTTTACAACAGCATATGAAATCATTATGGCCTTCAATTGAGTATTAGGCAAATGGCTTTCTCCTATCCGGCGTAGCTTTTATTGTATGCATGATTTCCTGCCTGGGTCATATACAGTATATTGGGTATTGGATATTACTGTGTGGTTGGATGGTTGGTGTAAAGTGGGGTTCATGATTTATACAGAGGCTGGCTTCATTTTGCACTGGCCTCAGGAGCTGCAGATGCTTTCATACATAAACATTTATTTGAACAAAGCACCAGTATCAGGAACACAGAAGGAGGACTTGAAAGCTTAGGTATAATAGGTCTAAGAAGGTTTAAAATATGGCATTGATTTCATAGCTATTAGAAAGTGTGATGTTTAGTTCATTTGCATGTTTATTTAAGTTTGACAGTTTCCCTACTCTACTTCTTTACTCACCATACAGGTTTGGAACTGTGGAAGACTAAATGACCCTCCCACCCTCAAAAAAACCCTCAAAAAACCCTCAAAAAACAAACATGCTTTTATTTAGTCTACGTTTGACTGTGTATTTAGATATATTGAGAGATATGTATAAACTATGAACCATTTTAACAAGTACTTTCTTCTCAGTTGCAGTTTTAAAGTACTTTTGTTGCCATAGCAGCCCTAACCCTAAAATATTCTTATCAGGTGAACAAAGTGCCATGACCAATGGGATTTGAACGACCAAGTTGTAAAATCAGTTTTGAAACTAAGGAAATGACTTGATGCCGATTTTGATGCCACAATGATAAAAAAATATATACATTTCTATACATTTTCTCTATCAAATATCATAGCGTCGCACATATTGTCTTATAATAGTGTTGTAGTCAAGATCGCGTCAAGATGCGGCCTTGACTACAACACTACAATACAATTGTTTTTAGCAGTTGTATTGTGTTTGTACTGTGTGTTTTATTCTACTGCGATTGTCATTGTCTGTTCTTTGTTTGTGTACAGCACTTTGGCCAAATGTAAAGTTTTTAAAGTGCTTTATAAATACAGTTAGTATGGAATGGTATGGTAAGACCGCGTCAAGACCAAGCCAAGACCAAGACCTGTCCGAGACCACAGGGCCCCAAGACCAAGAAAAGACCAAGACCTCTGAAGATTGAGACCAAGACTTTTAAAGGCCGAGACAGAGACAAGACCAATACCACGGCCCAAATTGTGACCATCTTTGTCATTTTTTAAAATGTATTTGTATTTTAGTTATTTTGGCACATTTATATCAACATAAATCTATCTCCATTTTATCTGATAAATTTGAATTTAAGCTTAAAATAAGCCAAGCAAACTGTGCTTCACTTAAACACTCTGCGCCCCTTTATGGACCCCCACCCATCTTTAACTTAGAGAACTTCCACTGGCACTTTACAAAAACCTGTAAAAACTGAAGAAAGTGGGTAGGATTTTTTTAAACTGTTCTTTCAAGTTCCTAACTGGAGTTAAACCTCGAGTCTGTGACAAGACCGAGTCCAAACACGGTCGAGTCCAAGACGAGACCAAGACTGTATCAAAATGATCTTGAGACGGGTCTTGAGACCAAGACCGGTCTCAAGTACTACAACACTATCTTATAATAGTTGTGGTAAAACTTTAAAACAATTGTCTAGCTTTGTCCTGTTTATGTAAAATTTTCAGTATCAATATCTGTTAAATAAGCAACTACTTTATGTATAATACTTGCTTTAGTATTGATTAGTATCTGAGTTTGCAGTATTATTTTGACAACCCTACCACGACTTCCGCTTTTCTTTCAGCAGTCACCATCCCTTTTAAACTGCTAAATCAGTACTGCGTAAGCCAACAGAGAGCAGAGCTGGAGCAGTGCATGATGGGAGCTGTAGTACCTTCTGCTCGTCGGGCACTAGCATCTTGCGTGCCTTCTTGATCATGGGCTGCGGTTTGAGCTCTTCGTCGGAGAAGCGGTGCCGGCGCGGGTCGAACGCGTCCTGTCCCGGGACGCTGGACAGGGCCAGGTCGGCGGGGTCGGGGTCGAAGTTCACCATGATGTCGGAGCTGCCGTTGGTCCCTGCTGGGGTGGGGGGGCCGGGGGGGCAGGTGGTGGAGGGAGAGGGGTCCTGCGGCACCGACTGGCCTCCTGGAAGAGAGAGGAGGAGATACAGGACGTCAATTCACTGTGAGAAACAAGAAGAGATGGTATGTATTTAAAATTCATAAAGTTGAGTCATAAAGTCCGTAAATTGTTCAAATTAAATACACTAGTCAGAAGTTTTAGAACACCCACATTTTTCCAGTTATTTATTGCAATTCAAGTCATGCAAGTCCAATGAAGAGCTTGAAATGGTACAAAGGTAAAAACTGAACAGCCAGAGGTTAAAAAAAAGATAAAAGATAAAACTAAACACGAGTTCAAGCTCTGACAAAACTACCTCAGGAAAAAAGAACAAGATGGTAAACTTGAAAACATGGAGCGTCCAGCACAGTGTCCAGACTTAAACTCCATCGAGCTGGTTTGGGATGAACTGGACAGAAGAGTGAAGCAACCTACAAGTGCCACACATTTATGGGAACTTCTGCAACAGACTTGGGAAGAACTTTCTGAACAATATTTGATTTCCACTGTAAAAAGAAGGAGCCACGAGTGTGTTCAGCTGTTATATCTGCCAAAGGTATTGTTGAATCAAAAGTTTTGGTCAACAGTAAATAGTAAACAGTAAAGAATTGGAAAAAGTGTGGTGTTCTAAAATTTTTGACTGGTATATATGTTTTACAACACTGATTTAATCCCATATTACGCTATTTCCTGATTATAATGTTGTTTCCTCATCACAAACAGACCTGGAGTGGTGTTTTGTGTCATTCACATATGTTCGACACACAAACCCTGCATATTTAGGCTGAGTTCTTCTTTCAAACAGAAAAATACTCTGTTCCACCTTGTGATAATACAAGAAGTGCTCAACTGTGTTTTTAAACTCCATACACTTCAACAAAATCATTTCATCAATCATTTCAGCCCAATTTTGGCAATCTCTCTCTTTTTAACAGTACCAAAGGGCCCATATTATATACTATCTTCTGATTCTGAGGTTGGATCTTCATCAAAAACTGACCTGGAGTTGTGTTTTGTTTCATTCACACATTTTTAACACAAAAACCTTGCATATTTAGGCTGAGTTCTTCTCTCAAACTGAAAATACTCTGTTCCAACTTATCATACTATACCATAATTTCAGCACAAGAATTTCCAATCTCTAATAAACAAAAGGTGAAAAGTAACTTGAACACTACAGCTTCATGACATCACAAGGTGGAACAGAGCATTGTGAGCTTTGGGGATGTAGGACTATAATAATGCAGACATGTGTGAATGAAACAAAACACAACTCCAGGTCTGTTTTTGAGGAGGTAACAACTTTCTAACACGACTTAAAGCTCACAAGAGTCAATTTTGCGTAATATAGGACCTTTAATTACAAAAACACTGGAGATGACATTCGATCTGTTCATGCTATAAACTGGTGTTTTAGTTCTCAAGACCATTATCCAATCAAAAAGCACGAGTCTGTTATTCGGGTTGCCAGTTTCAATGCTGAACTCCAGTTGGTTTCAACCTAAAATGACTCTCTGAGGTTCCGAGCTTTCACATAAGACCTGTTTATATTCTGAAAATGAGAAAAACAACAGCAAGAGTTAAGCTACGTAGTGTCTTTAATGTATTTGTTTATTTAACATTTTGATTAGGGGTCCTGTGTGTGGAGAGAAAAGAAATAAGAAGCTCTTTTCTTTTGATCAAATGACCAGCTCGATACCGTAACGCGCTCTATTTCTGAAGTAGTTGTCTTCTTTCTAATGACCACTAGGAGTCACCAGTGTCCAACTTTTCCACATGCATCGCTCGAGAATTTGTTCATTTGAGCAGATCAGACCAGGCTCCAATTACAAAGCAACAAAATCAGCCACAAACCAACAGTGTGGCAATCATTTCTACTGTCTAGTGCTTCAAAGGAATTAGTATGTAATCATTTACTTCAAAATCCAAAATCTTTCAATGTTTCTTTGCACTTTTGCTGCAGAAAAAGCTTCAGTTTTGGTTAAATCTGGAAGTTTAAAACACAAATCTTCAAAATTCCTGCAGTTAGGAAAAATATTTGCAGTAATTGTACTATTAATACACTGTTAATACACAAGAAGCATAAAATATTGGACCATACATTACATCTACCAGAAGTTGGACCAAGTCGTTGTTTTGCAAGTCTCTAAGTGAGTCTCAAGTCTTTGACCTCAAGTCCGAGTCAAGTCCTAAGTCAAAGACAAATCCAAATTGAGTCTTGAGTCACTGGCCCATAAGTTCAAGTCAAGTCCAAGTCATCTGCTTTAAGCTTCAAGTCATTTCAAATCTTTAAACCAACTTAGATTATTGCAATTTATATGACTTTTAAGATAAATTGTACTTAAAAAAATCATAGTATATTTATATATAAGTATGTATAGAGTATGTAGAGATGTAGAAATTAGTTTAGTTCATTTTTCCTTTTTGAATGGCTTGACAAGATCTTAGTGTGAATCATGATCAGAATAGAAAGAATTCAGATTTAAAAGTGCTTCTCAAGTCTTCTCAAATCACAGGCCTCAAGCTTGAGTCAAGTCTCAAGTCTCTAAGCCTTGAGTCCCAAGTCTAGTCCATTTTATCAAGTCAAGTCTCAAGTCCTAAAACTAGTAACTCAAGTCTGACTCAAGTCCAAGTCCTGACTTGCAAGTCCCCACCTCTGCCATGTACTATTGATCTACTACTATACAGCTATACTATACAACACATCTTCAATCAGTGATTTTTGTAATTTATTTGATGTTTAAACTAAATTGTACTTAAAAAGTCACGGTATATTTATATATGAGTATTTATTTCAGAGTTGTTGAAATGCTCATTTTTCCTTTTTAAATGTCTTGACAAAAGTGCAAATTATAATCAGTCAGAATAGAAAGAGTTCAGATTTAAGAGTGCTTAATAACAGAATCAAGTCTTCTCAAGTCACAGGCCTCAAGTCCAAGTCGAGTCCCAAGTCTTTGTCTATTTTATCAAGTCAAGTCTCAAGTCCTCAACTCTGACATGTACTGTTATTGTCAAACTCTGTTCTCTATGAAAAGCTGTTATAAGTCAACGTACATAATTATTGATGATTGAAAGGTTCTATATTGCTCAAAATGGCCAGAATAATAAGCTTTAAGCCAGGTTAGAATGTTGTTTCCTCCTCAAAAACAAACCTGGAGTTGTGTTTTATTATCATTAGTCTGTCTACATCTCCAAAGCTCCACCTTATGATGTCACGAAGCTGTAGTTTTCAAGTTACTTTTTACCTTTAGTTTATTAGATTTGGTATGATGGTGAAATGATGGTATGCTATGATAAACTGGAACAAAGTATTTTCAGTTTGAGCAAAGAACTCAGCCTAAATCTGCAACGTTTTTGTGTTAAACGTGTGAATGAAACAAAACATCACAAAACTCCAGGTTCGTTTGTGATAAGGATTCAACATTAGAAGCAGAAAGTCTCGGGCCCTTTACTGCTGAGTTGTCTAACACATGATAAATTCTGTTGTCCCAGAAAAGATGGGACACTGGAAGAGCCACTACTCTAACTGAAAATAATGAGGTATGTCCCTGAAGCAAAACGGTGGCATGAGCCCAGCTGCAGAGAGGGAGAGTGCACTTCCTAAAACTCACCGTGCTGCTTACTCACCGTTCTGTTCAGAGTTTTAATGTACAATAGTGACTTGGTGTGGCTTATTTGCGAAGTTTTACAATCATCAGTACAGTTACAAGTTTCTTCAACGAAAAATATGAATAGACAAGGTAAATACAGTACAGAAATTACAAAAAAATTAAATAAAAATACAAAGTTGGATTTCTCTTTGCACTGTCCCTTTTAGAGTTTCTTGATGAATGTAAAGACCTGCAGTGTTCCACAGTACATCATTATTACACTTATGTTTACAAGTATCTGATGCTACCAGGTCAGATCTGTGTAGAGGCAAGCCCGTTCCCAGTAAGAATGCATATCTTTCAGGACTATTTAAATGTGGAAAAAAGTGAAACATTTCAAGCAAGGCAATAACATCTTCATGGAGACCTGCAATTGGTTTACCCTCCACCAGAAAAGTTACACAGTGCACCTTTAAATGTGTACATGCTTACAAAGTACTGAGTAATACTACAACTACTTCGATCTCTATATGAACACTACAGTGGAACAGAGCATTTTGAGCTTTGGAAATGTAGACAGATTAATAATAAAGGGTAAGGCTGTGTAATTAATCGAATTTTGATCATGATTGTGTGTCAAACAATCTCCAAACTCATTTAATCGAGCGGAAACGATAGAACAGCTGGATATAAAGATTATTTTGGATACATTTATGTTTTTCTATGTAGCTCGCCAAAGTACTTCTGAATTATACATATTGTGCTCAATGACTCAAATTTGAAGAAGTACCATTATAAATGTATCATTTAGATACTTAACTTTGAGCACTTATAAATGGATAAATGTTTATATTTTATAGACTTCAAACTGTTCCAAATCTACAGATTTCCTATGCTGAATTTCTTGTGACCACGTAAAGTAGTAGCTCTTTGGCATTTTCTTTTTTAGCTCACCGGAAGAAAAAGGTAGGAGACCCCTGCCCTATTTCATGTTCAAAGTATATTTTATTCTTTTTATGTTTTATACATCGCAAAACTGCTCTAACGTTCATATTTGTAGTCTGTATTTATTTGAAAGTTTTGCGTAAACGATCAATAACAAAGTGTTTTTTTGAGAGAGAAACACTGAATAAATGCATCGTGTAACTAAAAAATAATCGTTTGAATAATCGTGATTTCAATATTGACCAAAATAATTGTGATAATGATTTTTTCCGTAATCGAGCAGCCATAAATAAAGAGTTACTCAAACATGTGTGAAAGAAACAAAACACAACCCCAGGTCTGTTTTTGAGAAGGTAACAACATTCTAACATGTCTTAAATCTCACTAGAGTCAATTTTGCGCAATATCCGACTTTTAATCTGGATAATATTGCGTTTTAAGAATCAAATCCCCGATACGATCCGTCATTAACTCATCAAATACTAAGAT